CCCTACAATCCTACATTGAGCTTCCTTGTCCTATTCTTTTGGCTATTATTTAATTCTATGAAGAAAATTTGATTAATGATCTTTCCATAGGTTGCATTTTCTTGGAACTGATGTCCTATTATTCAATGAAAATTCATTGAACAAATGCTACATTAGTGAATATGTTATTGTGAGTAGATAGATCTTCATATGTGAAAACAATCAAGGGTGACCCTACTAGCTTGAATTCATCATAGGCTCAATCACCAAGAATGACTTAGTGTGGCTCATTAATCCACTTAGTATTGCAATTTTTATAAACATGTATTTTTGTAGGATGCTTGTTTTGAAATAAATTTTTACGTAATATTTCTTATTTCTTTACTAGGAAGTTTCAGTAAGATATGATATGCTGGGTTTTATTTTCATAAAGAGTGGGTTTTCCTATTATGTTAAATAAAACCCTCATTTTATTTGGTTTTCACAAGCTACAAAATAAAAAATTTATATTCTTTATATGCTGTTTTTCTTGATTTTCAACATATGTTAGAGTGAGAAAATTCCACCTTTAATAGTGAAGCACAGCATGACTAGTACAAAGGGTTGACCAATGTTTAAAGTTACATCAAATCCGAATGCTAGCTTCACCAACAGTCTCTATAGGATGATTTCATATTCCAAATCATATGGCATGGACTCAATGACCACAACTTCATCTATAGATCGCAATTTATCATAATGTATATATGCAAGAAATGTATGGAAGATTACATCACTAGGGCCACTACACCTCCAATCATTGAAGAACCATAATTCAAGATCTAGAAGCTGAAAAACAGCATGGTGATGTTATTGCTTATCAATTTCATAACAAATAAAATGAGTGGAAAATGTAAGATTTGGGAGGGGAAAAATTATTATTCCTGTTCAATTTCATAGAAAATAATTATAAGATAAATAGAGATGGATGACTCTCACAATTGGAAAGTAATAAAATCTATCATAACTCTCTATAATTAAAGAAGGAAATCGGAATTATGACATATCAATATTTCCAAATCCCAAAAATAAAAAATATTAATAATAAAAGATACTAAAAAATGAAATCTTCCTAAAAAAGCCAACACCTCCCTCAAGTTGGAACATAGATATCTATCATGACCAACTTGCTTACAAAACTCAAAATTAGACCTGAAAATTCCTTTGGTTATGATATCTGCTATTTGTTGCAATGTCGGAGTGAAAGACATGAAAATTGCTCCACAATCAATCTTCTCTTTTATGAAGTGTCTATCAATCTCCACATATTTTGTGTGACCATGTTGCACTGGAATTTATGCAATGTTTATGACAACTTTATTGTCACGGTGCAGCTTCATTCGCATGTTTAACGAGATCCACAACTCTTCAAGAATTCTCTTCAGTGATAACATCTCACATACTCCATTAGCCATAGCTCGATATTATGACTCGACACTACTCCTTACTGCTACATTTTGCTTCTTAGCCATGTTACGAGATCTTTTCAAATATAAGTGTAGTATCTGGACGTCAATCTCCTATCAATAACTAAGCCCGTTGAGTCTGCATCAGTATATGTCTCTATGTTATGTTGTGTGGTCTTCTGAGAGAATAAATCCTTACCTGGTGTGCTTTTTAGGTATATGAGAATCCCATTATCAACTTCAGTGTTTCTCAGAGGGTGAATGCATAAACTGACTTACTAAAATTATAGCAGAGGTGATATTTGGCCGTGTATGTGAAATGTATATCTACTTTCCCACCAACTTTTAATATCGAGCTGTATTCACTAGCACACCCTCCTCATCTCTCAGTTTCTAATTGTGGTCAATTGGAGTTTTTGTTGGTCTATAACCACTCATCGCTATTTTCTTCGGAATATTAAGAACATATTTCCACTGGGAAACAAAAATTCCTTTCTTCGATCTAGTAACCTTCATGCTGAGAAAATACATCAGAAATCTTAAGTCCTTAGTTTAAAAGAATGATGAGAGGGAAGTGACTCGGGGTTGTGAAGGGGAACCGACTGAACCGACCTTAAAAGAGTTCCAGTCCAGCCCTTGCTGGACCAGACGGCCCACGAGAGGGGTAGGATTTGCCGCCCATCATGCTCCCCCTTTCTTTTTCTGTTTCCCTCCTATTATCCCTTCCTTTTCTATTACTCTTCTATTCTACTCCTTGTCTTTAATATGTCCTTTCTTTTCTATTTTTTTCTTTTTCTAATCCTTGCATAATCTATTTATTAATCGTTATTATATATGTGTTGTTTGCTTAGATTAGGGAGTTTTTTTCTTGATTCTTGAATTCAGAATTCCGCCTTCATCATTTTTCCATTCTGAGGGTTGCATCCGACGACAAGAAGAGGTCCGACTATAACTCGTCCAAGTTGGTGACTACCTCCGCTGTTCCTCCACCTTTCAGCTGCTACCAGCGTCTTCCTTGCAGATCGCTGACTCTTCCCTGCACTTCCTTGCAAACCACTGATTCTTTCCTGCACTTTCCCTAGGCCATCGATTTATCCCTGTAATTTCCTGCAGACCGCCAACTTCCCTGCACTTCCCTGCAGGCATCGACTTCTCAACACTTCCCTACAAGTCGCTGACTCCCCTGCAGCCCTCCAACTTTCCTACCCTTCCCTGCAAGCCGTGCACTTCCCTACAGACGGTTGACTTCCCTGCACTTCCTGCATGCAACCGCTTTCCCCGCACCTCCAACAGGCTGCAAGCCATCTTCAGCCCATCTGGGTAGTTGTGCGCACTACTGCCTCCTTCGATCTCCTTTCAGCAGCCCGCGAACAAGATAATGAAAAGGGTGACTTTTCCAAGAAGGAGATCTTGAGTGCATTTGGGGTGCCATTTTGGCTACTTATCAGCCCCAAAATGTCGATCGGTGTGTTTGGGATGCCACTTCCTTGGTGCTTTTTGATGTTGAGCGGTCGTGAAACAATGAAAGTTGAAACGGGCAGGTGAGGCTACGTTCTGCGGTTTTGGCTTTGTTTTGGGTGCAAAATAACATTGCTACCCCTCTACATTTCCTTAAATTCCTCCCTCTGTCCCTACAAATATCTCTACTTGCTTTCTCCACCTTTTCGCTCACTGTGGTTTTAGGGCAGAATCATTGTTCCCCTTCTACCCTTTGTCCATTCTTGGTGTCGTCGCCTCACGTTGTCTCTCTCTCTCTGTGTATACATCTCTCTTTCTCTTTTGTTCTTTGTGGTGGTTTTTAGTTGGTTTGCATTCTACCATCTTTCCCTTTTGTGATTCTTGGTTTACCTTTTGGTTATTTGATGTTTTGGTTTTACCACTCTCTGCATGGTATGCTACTTTCCTGAGAAATTGCTTGGAGCCAATATAAATATCAAAGTTTACATATTAGATAAGTAATTTCATTTCACTTTCTTCTTCTTTAATCATGAAAATCATTTTATTGATAGAATTATGAGCACTATTAGCTCTTGCGAAAAAATATATCTGAGAAATCAATTTGAGTTGTTTTAGTAAGCCAAGAAACTCCTAAATCTCTTGAAAATTTCCTCACCTCTATTTAGATATCACCAGGTCTTACTGATTTTCTAATATTTGTTTCTATTAAACCTCTTCAACTATATTTATACCAATGCGAGGGTAAAAATAAAAAAAATATTATTATTAGTGATATTAAGATCATTAAGGTCAATCATATTTTAAAAAACTTCATTGAAAAGATTATTAAAATATCTCACCTACCTATGTTGAATATTCTCCTTTAAGAAAAGCACATTTTGATTTTCATCTTTACTACATGTTACTTAAATTGAATTTTAATTTTCTTTTATCTTTATTTGGCTAGTTTATACATATATATTTTACCTTTTTTAAGATCTAATCTATTATAAATATCACTATAAGTAGAGTTCTTAGCGTCACAAATTATTCTCTTAGATTCCCTACGGGCCATCATTTTTTCTCAGTTCTTAAGCTTTGACATTTAAACCAATTTTTATAAGAAAACCTCTTATATCTTTGTTTTCTTGCTACCACTAACTATTTTTATTTATAATATTTTTTTTTCTTTTGATTCTCCAAGTACATCTTGTCATTTGTTTAATAATCCTTATTATTTTATCACATATAAAATTAACTTCTTCATGAGCATCTCAAATCTTGAAATCTTAAATTTTACTCATAAAATTAATTTATTTGTGTCTTTTAGGTGCCCCGGTCTAATTCTATGACAAAGTTTCATTATATTTTTTTATCTTTCAATTTCTCATCTTAAAATTCAGAACTAATAATCGATGTTATGTAATTAAAATTTCACTTGGAATGACCTTACAATTTTTACATTCTTGATGATATGTTATTCTTGTAAGAAAATAATCAATTTGTGTTTTATTAGATCAATTCTTATATGTAATAATATGCTCATTTATTTTCTTAAATAAAATATTAACAGTAACAAAATCATAACCTAAAGCTAAATTTACTGTGATTCTACCTTCTTCATTAATAACTCCAAAATCATAGTCATCAGGAATACATCTAAAAACTTTTTTCACTCTACCGACTTGACCATTTAAATCTCATCCAATAAAAATTATTTCTTCAAAAGAATTATTTCTTCAAAAGGTATCAATCATTTGTATTAATTATTCTAGGTCATTCCAAAATTTTAGATTAAGATTATGATGTAGAAAAATGGTTAGCTTTTTTTTAAAATTTCCAAGTAGAAATTAAATTTAGTTTTGCAATGTAGGAAGAAGGCAAATTATTTTAATATAATCAATTAGCGTGCTAGGAGGACTCTTGCAAAGTTCAATCATAAATTTTCTAGTGTCCTTTCAAGGAAGAATACAAGTTGTGCGCTTTGTTCAGTTTAACAGTCAGTTGATGAGCTTGATTATGTTGTTTCCCATCGTTATTGCCATCACTTTTCCTATAGAAATTACTGCTTTCTCTTATCTGAGATGTTATTTATATTCTTTATGCATGAACTTAAACAAATGTCTTTTGAACTCTCAGGTTTGGTGCGGAAATCTTTCATAACTTGCATGAGCAAGTAATGAGCACATCTGCAAGAGGACAAAAAATGCTTTCCAGGATTAAAGAGATAGAAGATGCACTTCCATCTATTGAAGATTCTGTTCATAGAAAAGAAAGTTACATAGACCTAGCTTATGAAACTGGTATTACTTCTAAGAATTCCTGCTCCCCCAACAGCCTAAATTTAGACTTTTAAAAAGTAAATTATGCTGAAATGATTCTTTATACATTTAGATGTTGGTGAGCTAAATTTCTCTTTTTATATGATGGCAAAACAAAAAAAGTGGGTTGTACAAGGACATCTTTGGTAGCTTCTAGTAATCCCAAGTTCATGAAGTTAATCAATTGATCTTTTTTTAATTATGTAATCTGTAACTGCATAAAACACAAGTCGTTCAAATCAAAAAGGTGTTGTTGCAGAGTCAATTTGTAGAGGCTGCATTCATTATAATAGTTACTGTTGGAAAGGCAGTTAACTTTCAGAAGTTGAGATGGTATTTAAAAGGAATGCTTTTTCCACACATGAAACTTAAAAATGGTGAATCCTTTTTTATTAAAAAAAAATCATGAGTGAAGAATTCGATTCTGAGGGCTAGTTTTACTGCTTTTAACTTAGATTAGTATTTTAGCAAGGCATGCCTCGACTGGAGTTAGCTTATGATTTTTCAATCATAAGCAGGCTTCATCTTCTCCAATATTAATTACAAAATATGCAGAAATATGGGACATTTTTAAACTAGTTTACCAGAAGAAAATGTGTGATTTTGTTGGTTGATGGCTGATGATAGTTATTGCACTGTGTCCCTAATGATAATTTGTTAGTTTTTAGGTTCTGGTTGGCATGCTGATCTCAGTATTATGGATACTCATCTATCTTGGGATGATTTGCCACAATTTATAATGGATTCGTATGAAGATTGTCGAGATCCACCATGCTTATACCTGCTTGACAAGTATGTTTGGGTTGTCTACCAAGTGTCTGTGCTGTGTAAATCAACTATGAAGATGTTGCTCATGTGAAATGTTTTATGTTTAAGATATGATCGTGCTGGAAATGGAGCTTGTTTAAAAAGATACTCAGATCCATCATATTTCAAGAAGGCATGGGCAAACTCAGAACCAGAGAAAGCTCAGCAAATTCAAAATGAAAAAAAACATCAGATTTTCAAGGTTAGTTTATGTTTCAGTCGTAGTTGTGTCTTTAGTAATAATATAAATATTTCTTCACAACAGATATGCCATTTGGCAATTTGTAGCCTATCAAAGAAATGGTTTCAGATTTTTTCCTTAAAACCAGCCAAAAAACTTTTAACATTTATAAATTCTTTATACAACAAATCCTTAATCCCATTACGTGTGGTCGGCTACATGAATCCTTTTTCTCCATCGTGTCCTTTTTAGTGTCATATTTTCATTTAGTTCTAATAAATTAAGATCATTTTTTATACAATAAACCCAAGTCTTCCTAAGTCTACCTCTGCCTTCTTAACCTAAGTCAAATCTAAAACATCTACTCTCCTAATCGAATCATCAGATGGTCGACGTTTAATGTGACCAAACCATCTAAGACTACTTTCTCTAATTTTGTTCGTCACTGGAGCTGCACCAACTCTATCACGGATATAATCATTTCGCATTGTCTCTATGTGTAAAACCATTCATCCACCTAATCATTCTCATCCCGGCAACATTTAACTTAGTATTATGCTTCTCTTTTAAAGGCCAATATTCACCTTCTCGATAGTACACAAGCTCAACTCTCCCTCCTCTGCGATGCACTTCCTCTCTTCTTCTTCTTCGTTGGTAGGCTATGGCATAGGCTCCTTCAACTCTCCTTCCTCCTACAGGTCGCTCAACGCAACAAAGAAAAGCAGCCATCCTCTCCTTCCCTCACGGCATTATATCCTCGTGTAAGAAAAACTCTCAACACCTCTCCTTCCTCACGCATCAATTTATTGGGCGAAGTCACCTCTTCGGCTTTCGACCCACTTGCTTCCCTTCCCTTCTTTCCGGTTGTTTGACTCCTCTTTTCGTCTTCTTCATTTCTCCGTTTCCTCTTTCGACTGTTCCTTTCCTCTTCCCCAGAGTAACAGAACCGTTACAGGTGAAGTTTGGTTGGTTGGCATAAAGAGACCCGAAGGAGGAAGCCAACCGAAGAGAGAAAAGCGGGTCAAATAGGTGGCCCATAAAAAACTAAGGGTGAAGATACTGGATAATGTGGCTAAGTCGTCCGGCTAAATGCTGCTCCATCATGAGTTGTGAAGTAAAGCAGTGCATGCTTCTGGTGCGACCATCCTTGCCCCGGCACCAATCCGTGAACGACCGGCTCAACTTCCGATCCAGGCAGCCATAGAGATCCAAGTCCAACCGCGTGAGGGTGTAGCTCCCTTTCTTTTGGTTAGTGAGACAAGTCAGGCAATTGTCTAATCGCTTTTTGGTGAGAAACTCTGAAAGTCTGAGATATTATGACTTATTGGTACGTGAAAACCTATTTTTCTTTCACAGAGGAGAATTTCATCTTAAGGAAGCTTGCAATTGCCTTTCGCATGTGTGAATTGTGATTCCTGACCTTTTGTTTTGCATACATGGGTGAATATCATTTTGAGTTTTCTGCATTTATAGGATCTTTTTTTTTGTTATTTTTTATTTTTCGATTGGCTCTTGCTTGCATCCATATGAAGTTCGGAGATTTCTCTTGGTTCCTCATGCTCTCTTAGTTTTAGGGATTTTAGAGGATTGATGATGTCATTGTTGCATACAAGTAGAAGAAGATATTTTCTGGGGTAATCTCTTTTAATGAGATTTTTGGGCTTTCTTCTTTGTTTTGAGCATAGTGTATATATGAAAATCTCGTAAGAGTGGTGAGTCCTCTTGATATGCACATCACTATGACTTTTATTTTCTAGTGAATTGGATCCTCTATTCTTTGCCATGAACTTAGATTTGGATGAAGCTTTTGAGAAATGGACCTTATTTAAGGTCCTATTGGTAAAAGGATTATATTGACGAAGTCTAGGGCTTCATTTGTTGTAATACCCTATTTAAGTCCATGTTATGAATGTATAGATTAGGTTTTAAATAATTCTTTCTACATGGTATCAGGCCTAGTCGTCGCAGCTATTTCTTCCTTGTGATACAGTCACCCTAATTAGGAAGGGTTCGCGGGATGAAGGCATGAGATTGGTTCATCTTGGCATCAAGCTAGCTAAATTGTGGAAAGGCAACGACAGCATCCCAACTTGGAGTTCCTCCTTCAGCCGCTCAATGTTCGGGATCGAAACCGAAATAGCACGGCGTACCTGGAGGGGATCACACATGAAGTATCGCGACAGCTATGTAGTCGGAGGTCGAGATGAAGGATCGCGTTATAGTCGCGACTGAAGCACTAGTACTGGAACCAAGTAAACGATAGGATCACATCTGATTTGTGATCTTGTCTTAAATCATTATGATTGAGGATGTCAGGTGATGAAGATAGTCTGAGAAAGAAAGGGTTGAAGCTTCTCGAGACGATTGATCCCGAAGTTTTGAAGATCTTGGTCGGGCTCATATAGGGAGTTAACGTCTTGATAGGAGTCACTACCTCAGCATGTGCTCCGACAAGGTGAAACTAAACTTAACTTCTGTGGATCTGAAGCTTGATTTACCGGCCACATATCTAAGTTGGTCTCATCGGATCAAGACTGGTTTAGTAGGGAAGAAACTAGAAGGATATCTGACTGGGGATGAATCAAAGAGTTATAGTTGAAGGGGATAAGTGGAGGATCACACACGCCTTAATCTACATTTGTGGCTACTTAAATCGATGGTTCTATAAATTTTATCCTCAGTAGATGACATTCAAAAAGCAAGGGATATATGGGCAAAGCTGAAGAGGATCTATGTTGGGATGGAGGACCACATGAGGGTGTTTCAGATTTAGTGTGAGATAGAAGCAATGGTACAAGATGATAGATCGATTCAAGAATACGCTAAACAATTAGCGCGTCTGTGGGCAGATCTTGATCACTTCTGACCGATGTCTAGTTGTGTCGATTCGGAGTCCAAAAAAGAGATCTTTACATAAAAGAGAACTATGCAATTTTTTGCCCATATGAACCCGTCCTTTGATCAGAGGAAATCAATCCTCCTAACTCGGTAGACCATTCCTTCTCTGGATGAGGACATTGCTTCAATGATACCAAAGGAGAGTCGCATGAAGCTACACTCTGAGCCGAGTGGACTTCCGGGTGCGAAATCAATTTTTGTTGCCTCGAGCTCAGGTATGATAGAAGTTCAGGGGAGACTCACAAGTGCTACAACTGTGGTTAAATCTAGCATGTGATCAAGACCTATCCTAGGCCACCTAAGGAGAGAGAGACAGGGTAGAGGTCGTGGCCATGATGGTTGAAAAGGTGGAAAAGTGGGCTACCGGGCAAATTTGATGTTAGCAAAGGAGGGAGAGACAAGTGTAGTATTTACCAATGACGATCATAAGTGTCTGGAGTTGTAAAAGAAGAAGGAAAAAAGCAGCAAGAGATGGGCTTCGGATGCTTCCAACCAGTCGTCATCAAATGGTAACATTGTCACTTATGCTCATTCTAACAAAAATATGTATGATATACATGCTCTTGTCTTTTTTTCCACTACAGGATCATTAGAATGGATAATAGATTTTGGTGCATCTCAGCATGTGATAGGTACTGCTAGCTAGAAGTATTAGATAACATCTAGACTGTTAATGGTACATCACAGTCAGTAATTTGTAAGGGTACAGTGTGCGGTGCCAATTTTATGACATTGTTCAATGTTTTGCATGCTTCTTTTTTTGTTAATATTTTATTCATTAGTGTCATTATTCTCCAACTAAAATGTGTTATTTTCTTTGATATCCTAAGGTGATCTTTCAAGAAAAAGAGATGGGTCAGAACTTCAGACTCGAAAGTGGCTTAATGAACTCTAGTACTTGGACCAAAAGGGGGTGGACTCAGCATTGACATCAATGGTAGAGAGTGTGGAGTAGGAGAATCTGGGAGGAGTGTAGAGGATGTGTTGATGCTACATCATAGATGCATGAGACACTCTTGTTATAGTTTATTGAGTCGTTTATATCCTTCTTCGTATAAAAGGCAAATAAACAAAAGCTTATTTTTAATGCTTGTGAGTTTGGTAAGCTTACGAGGAGCTCTTATATCAGTTTTGGGATTAGAAGTTCTAGTGTTTCTGACTTGATTCATTCTAATGTTTAGGGGCCTTGTTCTACAAGTTCAATAAACGTTATCGATATTTTATAATTTTTATTGTTTATTTTTCGTTTGTTACTTGGTTATATTTGATGAAAAATAAGGGTGATGTGTTTGCTTACTTTAAAGACTTCCATAAGGTAATCCAGACTCAATATAATGCAATAGTGAATGTATTGAAGTCTGACAATAAGATAAAGTATACTGACATAATATTTGGGGAATACTTGTCAGCTCAAAAGTTAAGAACATCAAAACACATGTCAATACACACTAACGTAAAATGGAGTAGCGAAGATGAAGAATAGACTAACTTCTAAAGGTTACCCGAAGCATGATGATCACAATGAATATCCCAAAGCACTTATCGAGTTGGACAAGTGCTCAATTGATCAATAGGATGCCTTAAAGGGTGTTGAATTGGAAGTCTCCTTATCAAATATTGAAAGTAAATAATAGTGGGATCCTCCCATTGAAGGTGTTTGGATGTTTATATTTTGTGAAGGATAACAAACTATCGGTAGGGAAGCTGGATGTCAAAGCTATGAAATGTGTGTTCGTGGATTATTTGCTACCCAGAAGGGATGACTGTTAGAGCTCGGTAGAAAAGAAATTGTTTGTGAGCATGGATGTGTCATTTAGAGATTTTGAACCATATTATACCCGGGAGATGACCTCACCCTTCAATGACTTGCCAGATACTAAAGCTATAAGGCAAGAAGGGGTGAGTGGCAATGGTGAGAGGGTGGTACACAAGGGAGCAATGCATTGCCCTGTGATGTGGGAGGAATTAATTGAGGAGCCGAAAAATAAGGAGAGTGAACCCAAAGATGATGGGATTCATGTTGGAGGTAAGCTAAAGTTGTATACACAAAGTAGGAAGCTAAATGTGGGAACAGTGTCTGTAGTTCCACTTGTGCAAGTTAGTCCCTTATCCCGGTCTTCCCCCACTCTTGAGACACCATCAACCTCTGACTCTGAATTCCCATGTGATATGATTCATCTTCCTTTTAACCCCCCAATTTTAAGGAGGATCTCCCGCAATAATGTGGGACAACCTTGCGATCGTATTGAGTGGGAACTTAACATTGCTAATTTTGTTTCATATTCTAACATATTATCTTTACATGGAGCATTCATTGTATTTTTGGACATTGTCTCTATACCCAAGTGTTGGCAAGATGCTAAGGAGAATCCCAAGTGGAAAGCGACTATGCAGGAAGAGCTGAGGGCTCTCGATAAAAATTGAACATTAGATATAGTGCCACTACTAGTAGGGAAAAGGCAATTGGGTACAAGTGGATCTTCACAGTGAAACAAACTCCACGAGGAAAGGTGGAGTGGTGCAAGACTCAAAGGGTACAGATTGAATATAATGAAACATTTGCACCAGTAGCAAAAAAGAGCATAGTAAGTACATTTGTTTCTTTTGCAGTGAATGGTGGGTGAAGGTTACACCAACTCAATGTGAAGAATGTATTTCTTCGTGGTGAGTTAATTGAAATGTATATATGGAGATACCACCAGAATTCAGCACAGTCCAGACAGTGGGCAAGGTGTCTAGTCGCAAGAGGCCATTGTATGACTTGACTGCCTGATTTGATAAGTTTAGAAAGGTTATGGTGAGCATGAGATATCAGCAGATCAATGCATACCATACAATTTTCATTCGACAACATGAAGGTTACACTACTATACTTACTATGTATGTTGATGACATCATTATCGGTGATAATGATGAGACATGGACTGCATAATTAAAAATAATATTAAGCAATGAATTTGAGGGGATACTTTCTTAAGATTGAAGTAGCCTACGAATCTGAGGGTATATTTTTTTCCCAGAGAAAATATGTACTAGATCTTCTCACAGAAACAAACATGTTGGCGTGCAAATTTGCAGTCTCTCCAATAAGACCAGAAGACCAAACTGAGTGCAAAGGCAAGAGAACTGGTTGATCATGAGTATGGGTGTAAACGAGCCGAACACGAGCAAGCTCAGGCTTAGCTCGTGTTTTGCTCTTTTATATTTCAAGCTCAAAAATTATGTTCGTGTTCGACTCGTTTGCTAAACGAGTCGATCATGAGCTATTCACGCTGTCCACAAACAAAGAGTCATTTTGACAATCCTAATCACGTAACCATAAAATGTTAAGGATTGCGGCAAGATTTAACAATTATTGTTTATATTAAAATATCAGTTGAATTTAATTTAATAATTTTTTTTCTACTTTTTAAATTTATATTTTTAATTGATTATAAAACTTTGAAGCCTTGTAGCCAATTAATTTTTTAAAAAATATTACTCAATATAT